GTCAACGGTCAAGTGAAAATATTACGAATATGATTTAGTCGCGAAAAATGTCCGTAGCGATGAAATATTTTCCAACTTGCTAACATTCTTTGAATACAAATGTTTTGTTTAATAACGTAATTATTATCTCAACATAACGAACCGTATCTATTCAACAGTTTGTCGTTATTCAGTGTCATTTTATAGGCGTGAAACTTGCGTGATACATCATATTATTTTGATAATAGTTGTGAAAAGTACGTAGCAGTATTTAAATATAAGGATTAAAATATTTATAATCCTTTGATAGACGACGAAAATAATTTCAAGATTGCAACGTTATAAAGTAGTTACTAATATTATATGTTAGCGATCGGCCCTGGCTCCACAAGTGTGACTTCTCGATATATTCAATAACGCCACATCCCAGATTCAATTGTGAATCTAAACTATTTAGAGACCCACTCAAACACATAATTTTTTTTCAAAGTCAGTCCAGCCGGTTAGGATGAGATCAGTAACATATACACGGACAGTAGTATTTTATTAGACAGACTAGCGATCCATCCCGGCGTCGCATAAGTGATTTATAGATATTGACATCAGCTCTACTTATCGAGTACGATTTTGAATCTAAACCATTCTCGAATCAACTTAATCACATACACAAAATTTCATTAAAATCGGTCCAGCCGCTTAGGAGTTTAGTCACATACACACTCGTGGAAGAATTGTATAAATAAATATATTACACTAGCTTGGAAGGAGGCGAGAGATAGTTGTTACGATCGTGCCGAATAGAAGTCCGTAGTCTTTGCCTACCCCTCTGAGTGACAGGCATGAGTATTTATGTGTATGTCTATCTATTGTTTCCTTCAAAATCTACTTAAATATTATACGGAACTCAAATATATAAAATAATAATAATAAATATGCATGCCGTGGCAACCTTTAATTAAGACGACACTTAGATATAAACCTTCCTGTAATTTGTAGTATTTACATTGTGTTCGTGTACGTCTTGTTGGTTGTCCTAAATAAAAAAAAATCCCCGTTATACTTCCCGTACTTTCTTGTATCTATCATCTTTACTCAACTATCAACGTCTTGCGATTTTATTTATATTTTTTATTTAATTCTATACTCAATGCATACCTCCGTTGTGTACAATCCTTTGCGTAATAAGCATTAAGAGCGCCTATTGCAAATTCTTAATTTTTTAATTTTGTATTTGTTTCAATGTGTATGCTTGTACAATAAAAATATATTGATTGAATCATTAAAAACTGTATTAAAATAGTTCACAAAATTAATATATATTTCGTTTTTTAACCCCTTAGGAGTGGGGTATCCAAAGGTCTTTAAGGACGTGTTACTTAGTCTCTAAGCGAAAGCTAATCATATGAAGAATCCTTAATTTTATCACCTTAACAGTAAAATTGCCTAAAATATTGAAACACATGTCTCCATACAAATTTGAAATCTTCCTGGCCCCACTACCTAAGATTCACCTTAAAACATCTTAAAAATAAATAAAATGCAAAGTTTCCTAAAAAACTGTAACACACTATTTCACCCCCGAGGGGTTGTGAATTTTGCAAAATAGAAGCAACAGCTACTGTTCAAATTTCAGATTTCTACGTTCAGTGGTTTGGAATATGCGTTGTAGATGAGTTAGTCACTCAGGACATCTTTTTATATAGTATATACAAGTTGAAGAATATTTCGAGCCCAAAATATCAGTTTCTAATAGCCCACTATTGTACATAAACCAGATTCGGAATAACAGGACAAAGTTGTCTTTTACAGTACTTCCCAATGTAATGTATACAAGATTATGTAACTGTGTGATTTATAATTTTATTTATTTATAACTAATTAATTACAACGGCTTGCGGCAATGACAGTAATTAGGTAAAACTAAACATATAACATAATTAACATAATTCAAAAACAAGTAAAAAGGCAGAGATCGAACATACATAACAATAACTAGAGGAAATAAAATAATATAAAACAGAATAAAGTGATAACAACGTACAACTTATTTACCTAACAAACTAACTAACAAACATGGCTTTCACATAACATGAGACAGTTTGAAATGATCACCTTGAGTATCTCATTAAAGATATCACATTCAGGAACTATCTCCATTAAGGAGTTTAAAGCACCATGCATGCAACACAACGAGAATTGCGCGCGGACACAGTGCGGCAATGGGATGTGGCGAACAGCCGGTGTCGTCGAGTAGGCCTATGACGCAGGTAGTGTAGGCAATAAAGTGTATACAAAGTATTGTGCAGCTCTGGGGAATCTACCATGCTCCTTAAAATTTTTATGGCTATTAGGATCTGATCTCTGGCTCTACGCACTGAAAGGGAATTATATCCTAACATTCCCAGCAAGAAAAGAGTAGGATACATAAATGGATAATACGTCCGTAAATCTTCTTATATAAAAAACGCAGAAAGGCTTTCTGAACCTTTTGAATCAATAATTCATATGTGGATTCTGTGGGGATTCCAGACGGCTGCAGCAAATTCTAACTTACTTCTAACTAGACAGTTAAATAATAATTTGATGACAATACGATTATTAAAATCACGGGCATTGCGTAGGACAAAACCTAGGCGTCTGTAAGATTCTGAAGCTAGGGCAGACATGTGTACATGGAAAGTCAATCCGCAGTCAAATGTCACGCCAAGATCTCTAATGGTTGACACGCGCTTTATTTCAACACCTGCTAAGGTATAGGTGGCATGTGTAGGTTGTAACTTGCGGCTAAAGGTCATGACGTAACATTTACCGGCATTAAACATCATTTTATTATGTACCTATACTCCACTTGTGGATTCGGTCGATGTCACTTTGAAGATGTTCGGGAGTTACATCCTTATCAATCACTTGGACTAATTTCAAATCGTCAGCGTATAGGAGGCATTTGGCATATTTTACTACTTTAATGAGACCGTTAACCATAATGAGAAAGAGAAGGGGGCCTAAAACTGAACCCTGGCTTACACCTGAGCGCGTATGATATGACTTCGAAATAAAGAATCCATGGCTAACATACTGTTTTCTATTTGAAAGGTAATCAGCATAAAAATTTAGAAGTTTTGGGGTAAAACCCATGCTATATAATTTATTTAATAGAATATCGTTATCCACTAAATTGAACGCCTTTTTAAAATCTAAGTATAGCACATCTACTTGTTGACCTTTATCCATGTGATGAGATATATAGTCAACGAGGGATAACAAGTTAGTCTCTACTGATCGACCCGGTCGGAAGCCATGCTGCTCCTCACAAAGTCGGGTCAAAAAGTCAAAAAGTTTTGCTGCGCACGATAGTACTGCGATAGGACGATACTCTTCAACCAAGGTCTTATTGCTTGTTTTAGGTATCAGAGTGACTTTCGATATATTCCACTGTTCTGGGTATACGCCGGTGTTTAAAGCCAAGTTAAAAATATAGGTAAGTACAGGTGCAAGAATCTCCTTGCATCCTCTTAAGATGTAAGCTGGGACTTTATCTGGACCCACAGAACTAAGTGGTTTTAACTTATTTATTCCTGATTTTACTTGTGATAAGGTAAAAAAGCTTATGTTGATATGTCCATCGCATGACAAGGGAGTACTAGATATATTGTTGAAATCTAATATGAGACTATTGGGTAGAAGCACATTAGCAAAATAATTTGAAAAGGCATCTGCAGCTTCACTATTGGAAAAACTACAGCCTTTGTAGGTCACAGTGGGCTCAAAGCCACCCTTAGTTCGAAGGCTACTAATACGATCCCTGATTTTTTTGGATTATTCTTAATGCCATTTTCAACAACTGCTAAATAGGCATTGTATGCTGACTCGATGCGTCCCTTGAGTTCTAACCGCAGTATGGTAAATGCCTTGTAGACATTCTAATTATTATATCGTTTCCATTCTTTGTGGAGTTTAATTTTGCGATTTACATCTTTAATTAAATCATACGAAAACCAGACAGGATAGCGTTTCCTGTTTGAAACTTGTCTGCTTTTTTCAGGTACGCAAAGATCAAAAATATTATATAATACTTCATAAAATTGACCAGTCGCAGATGGCACATCTGAGGCATTAAATACAAAACCCCAATTCATTGTAGACATCATCTCATATAAAAGAGAAAAGTTAGCTTTATTAAAACTCCAATCAGAGGTTGTGTCAAAGTTACTAGGCTTAATATTTTCGTTACAAGTATTTGATAAGATGTTAAGAGCAATATCCAAAGGAGGATGGTAGGAGTCCACATTAACAATGCTCCAAGTGTCTGTACTATTTACATGCACTGCGCAACTAGAGCCCTTTACAAGGACAACATCTAATTTACTGCCAAACTTATTGTAAACGTTATTCCTGTCAGACAAGGAACAAAATGAGAGGAAATAACCATAATAATTACATACATTTTTGGAAGCACTATTTAAATTAATATCACCAATAATAAGTACGGTTCCTTTAAGGTCATTTATAAAACTCTCAACTTTAAAAAACCAATCAAAATATACAGAGTCTGTAGCGCTGGGAGTTATGTACACTACACACACATGTACACAACACTGCTCTTCCGGTAGGAAAATTTCACCCAGAGATCTTCGCCATTAACCCTAGAACCGTACCCTGGGGTACAACTGAAAAAATATTTTTAAAATTGGCTATAACTTTTTTGTTTTAAAACGGATCTTTTCGCACCGGCGCGTATTTATGGGGGACGGGGGGTTGTGTCGAAGCATCAGTCGGGCGCGAGTTCTGTTAGCGTGCAATCGTGGCAACGCGTGTGTGGGGAGGTACTCCAGCACCCCTGGGTACAGCTATGCTATTTTTTTGTTTGATTCATGATTTTAATTTTAACATTGCAATATTACCTTAGAAGTAACTTTGTCTGCATACGATGTGTTTGTACTTAATATTTATTTGCAATATTTATACAATTTTATTTACGTTATTTTGTTTAGTAACGAATTTTTTGTAATTCTTCTTTTTAGATGGCGTCAAGAAAAAACCTTTCAGAAAATGAAATTCAAAACCTCCTTCTGGACGTTCGTGATGAAGATGAAGTGTTTCTTGGGGATGAATTAGAAGATGAACTGGATGAAATTATTCCCGATTTTCGCGATGAACAGGTTCCTGTCGAAGAGTTTGGCTCTAACCATGAAACAGATCTTGAAAGTTCGGAAGAAGAAGTTGAAGAGGATATTGTCCAGGTTAGAATCACAAATTCTCCAGTAATAGTTCTTACAGTACCCGAAGTTTTGCGAGGTAAAGGAACAAAAAAGCAAAGAACTAGCGAAAAATTTCTATGGTATGGGACTCGTCGCCGTTCCTCGCGTACTCCACAAAGAAATATAATATTTCATGCACCAGGAAATAAAGCTCTTGCTAAATTTACTACCAGTGCCTTAGATAGTTGGAAATTATTTTTTACGGATGAGATTTTGCATATGATAGTAACTAATACTAATCTTGAGATATCTGAACAGCGCAAGAAGTATAAGTCAGACAGGCCAATAGCATCTCAAAATGATGATGATGATGATAATTCTGTTCCTACGAGTATTCGACTTCGTAACCGAATTAAAAGCTCTCTTTGGCTTATACTATTTAGCTGGAGTTTTAAAAATTAATCACTTGTCTGTCAAAGAAATATTAGATAAAAATACGGGCATCAACTATTTTCGGTCTACTATGAGTGAAAAAAGATTCGAATTTTTGACAAATTGTCTTCGATTTGATGATCGTTCGACCAGAGCTGAAAGAAGACAACATAGTAAATTGGCACCAATAAAAGAACTGTTTGATCACATTGTTGAAACTTCAAAAAGTCTTTATTCACCTTCAGATTGCACAACGATTGACGAGCAATTACTTGGGTTTCGCGGTAGATGCCCATTCCGTATGTATATTCCATCAAAACCCGATAAATATGGAATAAAACTGTTAATGTTTTGTGATGCAAAATCTTATTACATGATAAATAGTATAACATACACTGGAAAAGATTCTACACCACGTGAATTACCAGTGGCTGAGTATTACGCATTAGAGCTTTCAACTTCTATTCATGGGTCTAATAGAAATATCACGCACGATAACTTGTTTACTTCAATCCCTGCTGCCGAAAAACTCTTAACCAAAAATGTTACAACAGTTGGAACAATGAAAAGAAACAAAACAGAAATCCCTACTCATTTTTTGGAAACCAAAAACCGCCTCAAGAACACATCAATGTTTGCTGTTCATGACGAACTTACTTTGTTATCATATGTGCCTCCAAAGCTAAGTAAAGGAAAAAAGAAAAACGTGATTATGCTTTCTACTATGCACTATCAACCAGACGAAGACAAATCTGTTGATTTACCAGAAATAATAAGTTTTCATAATCAAACGAAAGGAGGAGTGGACACTTTTTATCAGCTTTGTCATACATACAGTATTTCTCGCAAAACTTGTCGCTGGAGCCTTTGTGTATTCTACGGAATTTTGAACATTGTGGGAATTAACTCCATGATATTACTGCATTCATCAAAAGCCAATGGTAAACAAGTTTTCAAGAACAGACGGAGTTTTCTGAAGGCCTTAGTTTTTGACCTTATAAAACCTTATTTGGAGGACCGATTTTTATATAAAACTTTGCCTATGCATCTACAAGTAAGTATTGACGATATTTTAGAAAAAACACGACCTTCTAGTGCTCCATTACCTTCAGATTCAAAATCTGGTAGATGTTCATTTTGTCCCAGGTCAAAAGACCGTAAATCACGCACTCGATGTGAAAAATGTAAAAGTTTTATATGTTTAGAGCGCAAAAAAAATTTGCCAAAATTGTTAATTTAAGTTTGTTAATTTTTTGTTTAATTTTGTAACGTGAGACTGAAATAAGTGCCATAAAAGACTATGTATGTTGATTATTAATAAATGTCTATTCTTATGTAAAAAAATGTTTTATTTAACGGGGTACACTAGAACCCCTGGGTACTGTTATTTAAAGTCTATTATGGGTACGGTTCTAGGGTTAAGATTTTCAAACTCACTTACTCGGGTAGGTGTGATACCTTGCTTAGACGCTAATAGGACACCACCGCCATAGTCGCATCTGTCTCGGCGTGTGACATTCTATCCGCTGAGGACTAACTCAGAATCCTCAACAGAAGAGTCTAGGAATGTCTCAGTGGCTCCCAAGAGGTCATGTTCCATGATCGACAAATTAGTTCTCCACAAATTGAGTTTGGTCTTAATGCCGCGAATATTCTGATAAAAGATGCTTAACGAGGTTATTCTTTTCCGGACTGTAAACTGGTTGCAGAACTCAGAATGCAGAATGTTGACGTAGTTACAGAAAAAACTGCGAGTTTATCTGTTGCGATTCTTTAGGTAATTCATTTAGGCTTTGATTTTCTAGGGAGCAGTCAACCTCCTGGTGCAAAGTATTCAGGTGCCTAGATCAAGAATTAGGTCTTGCAAATCTGATACGACAATCTTTACACCATAATTATTTAAAGAGCCATAGCGTTTGTTGTACGTACCATGATCATAGGTTAGGTTAAGGTATGAACCTGAGATGTGCGCGTAATTAAATGAGTTTACATATAAATAAAGAAGGTTGTTAAAAGTTTCTACGCGACTGTTAAACATTATGTTAACATTCTTCATATACTTAAAAGTGGATAAGCAAATTATAAAGTTTGTGTGTATAAGGACAATTCTGAACAAGCTCTATGTAGTTATGGGTAGCACGAAAATCTTCCTGGTCAATAAAAATAATGCAATAGTCCAAATAATTAAAATCTTTCACTTTTCCCTCAATTTCGTCTAAAGATTGACGTAGGCCACATTTAGGTTTCTGATAATGACAGATATCATAATTATTTTAATTGGTTGATTCGGCCACAGTATGTAGTCTATTAGAGGTTTCACTGCTTATGAGGCATATTTTCTGTTTTCTGGACCGATATTCTGTGGCTTGCTTTGTTTTTCCTTGTGTGTTACGATCTACGTTAGTTAAATTTGTATCTGTGTTATTGACTATTATAGTTTTATTGACAGTTTTATTGACATTCGAAGATAGATAGTGTTCTTTTTCTGCAATGTCAATAGTCTGCGTCTCTTTAGATTTTTGATTTTTCTGGGACTCTTTTGATGGTGTATTAATTTTTTTTTATTTTTCCCTGGACTGCTGACCAAATTTTTGTTAATATCATCCATCTTTTTGTAATCTTCGTTGCTTTTATTAAATTACTGTTTTCTATCGACAGCAATTAAATTTTTTCATGCGCACTCTTTAACTGGGACGCTAGGCTAGCAATCTCATCTTTTAATATTTTTATTCGATGAACATCTTCGTCTTCGGAAATATCAGGCAAACTATTAGTCGTAGAGTTCAAAGTCTGTGATATATAGTCGCTACTTTCATCGTTGTTTGGTTCCGACAATATACGTGCGCGCCGGAACGTTATATTTTCCAAAGAATTCATCCTGAGAACGATATACAACGTTCAAAAATAATTTCCACCAGTGAGTTTCGAACCCGACCTTCTAAGTCACACTTACTACGAGGTAGGACGTCACGCCACTAAACCAAGTGATGGCAGCCTTATCATCATCATTCATCATTACAGCCCTTCACAAGTCCACTGCTGAACATAGGCCTCCCCAAAGTAATGCCACAAAGCACGGTCCTGAGCCACCTGCATCCATTGATTTCCTGCATATCTTACCAGGTCGTCACTCCATCTATTGGGGGGTCGCCCTACACTACGCCTACCGGTACGAGGCTGCCACTCGAGAACCTTTCTTTCCCATCGGTTATCGGTTCTTCGAGCTATATGACCGGCCCATTGCCACTTCAGCTTACTAATCCGTTGGGCTATGTCGGTCACTCTGGTTTTACTGCGGATATCCTCATTTCTGAGTCTATCACGCAGGGAAACTCCGAGCATAGCCCTCTCCATAGCTCGCTGAGCGACCTTGAGCGTCCTCATACGGCCAGCAGTGAAGGACCACGTCTCTGATCCGTAAGTCATCACTGGCAACACGCACTGGTTGTACACATTAGTTTTCAGAGATTGAGGTATACCTGACGAGAAGATGTGTCGTAATTTCCCGAACGCTGCCCAGCCGAGTTGAATCCGTCGATTGACCTCTCGGTCGAAGTTGGACTTACCTAGTCGGACTATTTGTCCCAGGTAAACGTACTCGTCAACAACTTCGAGCATAGTGCTCCCAACAACTACCGGCATAGGTGTGACATGGACATTAAACATGATCTTTGTTTTGTTCATGTTCACCTTAAGACCTATCCGTTGGGAGGCACTATTGAGGTCATTGAGCATAGTGCTTAAGTCATCCAGCGATTCTACCATAAGGACTATATCGTCGGCAAATCGAAGGTGAGTGATGTACTCGCCATTGATGTTAATACCGTATCCTTTCCAGTCCAGTAGCTTGAAAACGTCTTCCAAAGCAGCGATGAAGAGTTTCGGGGATATAACGTCACCCTGTCTTACACCTCTCTGCAGTTGGATAGGTTTCGAGCTCTGGTTCTGTACTCGGATAGCCATCGTAGTCCTACTGTACAAACACTTCAGCACTTCGATATACCGACAGTCAACTTGGCACCGCTGAAGGGACTGCAGCACCGCCCAAATTTCGACGGAATCAAAGGCTTTCTCATAGTCCACATATGCAGGGTATGTATGTGGTCTATGGTACTGAAGCCTTTTCGGAAACCGGCTTGTTCGGGAGGCTGGAAGTCGTCGAGTCTGCTTGCGAGACGATTCGTAATGACTCTCGAAAACAGCACGTAGACGCGGCTCAGAAGGGAAATCGGTCTGTAGTTCTTCAAGAGAGCGTTGTCGCCTTTCTTAAAGAACAAGACCACCGCACTTCTGCTCCACGCCTCTGGAGTAGTGCCACCATGGAGGACGGAATTGAAGAGCTTCTGAAGGACTTCAAGTACCGGTGTTCCACCCGCTTTCAGAAGCTCCGCTGTAATTCCATCCTCGCCCGGGGCCTTGCCGTTTTTAAGGTGTTGGAGAGCCATTCTAATCTCGCTCAGACTGACGTCCGGGATATCATCGGAATAGTGTCGGATAAGACTTGCTCTTGGATCGTTACTCACACTTGAGTGTGGCTCCAACGATGATGTGTACAGCTGCCCATAGAACCTCTCAATCTCACTCAGAATCTCAGGTGACCCGGAAACGATGTTGCCACACTCAGTCTTCAGCCTTGACAGTTGGCTCTTTCTGGCAGACAGATCTCTGGCAAAGACTTTGGAGTCCTGGTTCCGCTCGATCGCTTCTTTAATACGGGAAGTATTAAAGTTGCGTAAGTCTCGCCGCATGCATTTGGAGATCTGTCTGTTCAGTTGCCTGTATGCTGTCAAATCCGTTGACGATTGCAGCCTCATCTCCCGTTTAACAGCCATGAGATTAAGAGTGTGATCGGAGAGTTTTTGTGTTCTTCTGCGGCGGGTCTTGCAGAACTTAGCTCCGACCGCATGGACAGTTTCCACGAGCTTGTCATTCATATCGTCCACTGCATTGCAATCTTCTAGGCACTGAAAGCGGTTACGTAACTCGAGCTGAAAGGTTTCGGGATTCTGGATTAGAGCACGAGGGGGGACGGAGCGTTGACTTCATTAGACGAGACCTCTCCAACTTAACGTTTAGGTTCAGTGTGCATCTAACCATTCGGTGATCGCTGCTGGTTTTCACCCTTGCGATCACTGAGACATCACTGAACAGTTGGCGTCTGGTCGTCATAATGAAGTCAATCTCATTTTTTGTCGAACCATCGGGGCTCGACCAGGTCCACTTCCTGTGGGGCCGCTTCTGGAAGAAAGAGTTCATCATAAAGAGTCCCTCTTTCTCCATAAAGTCGGCCAGCTGCTGGCCCCTTCGGTTCCGTTGCCCTACTCCAAATTTCCCTACCTTCAGCTCACCGGTTTCTCTTGTGCCTAGTTTTGCGTTGAAGTCTCCCATCAACACCGTGTAGTGGGTTTTGGAGGAATGCATGGCTTTGGAAATATCCTCATACATTTCCTCCACCTCCTCATCGGAATTTGCCGAGGTTGGTGCGTAAACCTGTATGACCTTCAGCGAATACCGTTTGGTGATTCTGAGTATCAGGTACGCGACCCTCGTCGACACACTCCCAATCTTTACAACGTTGTTGACGAGAGACTTGTGGACGATAAATCCGACACCTCCTTGGGACAGATGGTCGCCCTCCCGGTGATAGAACAAGTTGCCGGATTCGAGAATCACCGTGTCCTCCCCCTCTCTTCGGACCTCGGATAATCCTATAATACTCCAGCGCAACTTGTCTATCTCTTCTTCCAGCTCCAGGATCTTCTCGTCAGTCCTCAGTGTGCGTGCGTTAAATGTTGCCAGGTCGAGTCGTCGTAGGTGGCAACCGAACCTCCACCGGAGATTCTTAGCACCCCCTGCCCCGCCGTTACCATGGTCGCACCGTAGCCAGGAATAGCGGAGCCACCGGGGACTGGGAGCCGTCTATTTGTGTAATTGTTCATGGGGGGTATATTGCCATAGTTGCCACGCTTGGCGAGCGGGTTGGCAACCGCATTTTTTTTTGTCGTACAGTTGCTGTTATCAGGAAGATGCTGCTGCCCATCTCCTGCCTGTCTCCCTCTGTCGCCTTTTACGACACCCACGGGAAGATATGGGGTAGTGGATATTCTTAACCGCCACTACACGGCATACAGCCTTAGAGAATATTATATTATCGCTTTCTGATCCGCTGTTGTTATGAGATAGACGATTATGGGAATGACAGATGGTGATTGATCTCAACAGTATTTCTAATAAAAATACAAAATAATTAAATACAATTTAATAAATTCAATAGATTTGATACATTTTTTATAACTTAATCAGGTATGTACATTACTGAAAAATGATTTACAAAAGTAATAAGTATAAAACTTTTTGTATTATGTGCTACAAATAGTACAAAAATTTAAAAATAAATAAAATACATCTACTGAATAGAAAAAAAAATCCATAAATTTTAAACAGTGTTAGTCAACGTTCGGTCAATATTATCATAAATTTAATATATTACTAATTCTATTAACTGCTAAAATGAAATAGTATTTTATAAAAATGATTGAACCTTTCACAATTTTTGCATCAAATGTTACATTTATTACATACTTACTATATATTATACAGAAGAGATTGTTCTATCCATCTAAATAATCGATTAACATTCTAATAGCGTAATCATACAAAGTGGACAGATGCCAATTTGAGATCTTGGAAAATATTCAAGTGCCAAATGTCATGACATTGAATAACCTTATTACGCATAATGTTGAAGAAAAAGAAAATATTATTACAAATTTATCCAGGGAACATTTTGCGGAGCCTTGTTGCATCGCTGCTGGGTGCTCACCTAAAGCAGTTGATAATATTTTA